CTTAATATGACATTTAAATGCTGTTTTAAATGAGTTTATTCATCTAATGTAGAAAAATCTTTCTATAAAGCTTTTGTCAACAAACATTTCTCCTTTGTTTTTTTTTCCATATAGCTTGAGGAGAAATCAAGAAGTCTGGGAAGAAATGAATGTGATTTAGTGTTCAAAACACCAACTTATGATTTGGATCCACAATGGCAACGTCAAAATTATTATTATTTTTTATTGCCACTTTATATTTCTCTTGTAATTAACACATTAAAGGAATAAAGTTTGTATAAATTTCAATTTCAGATGTTTAATGTCTTAATTCGCAAAGCTCATGACAACACAATTATACAATATCCAAACATTTCAAGTTTAAATTCTTGTGTAAACAACTCAATCGCTGAAGTGTTTGTTCAAGCTGATCCATCTTTATATTCAGCTCTCCAGTCTCACTTGTCACGTCTCCAAATGTTCAATCCTCTTTGATTAACCTGAACACACACGTCTTTTGTTATTGTTTCTTTTCATTATGTAAGTTTGAGTCATTTTGCTGATGTATTGTGTGTCTTACGTTTATTCTTCAGTTCCACCTCTACTGGATAGTGATCACTCACTTTCAGTGCCTGTGAAGACATTAAATCTGTTTTAGGAACTTACTAAACCAGTCCTCAAAAAATCTGTAAGTTAAATATATAGTAATAATTCATGTTTGGTGGTATAAGTTTAAATAAAAAAATAAAAATAAATGATTGTTTACCTCCTCATCTTTCAGTTTGAAGGCCTTCTGGAAGTTGAATGGTTTTGCAGAATTTGCAACAACAGCGTCCAGCATATCGTCTCCATAAACCACAATCCTGTGAACATGTGCTATTAATAACAATGATATCCTACTTTATGTTTATTGTACAGTGTAATTATTCACCGGTCGTAAGTGTTGTCGTTGCGTGTGCTGGCTGTGGTGTCCTCGTCATCCTTGATCAGCCAATGGAAGTCTTTGTCACTGCGGATGCGGATTGTTTTCATCTCTTTATCAGACACATAACTACCGTCTGCATTGAAGTCCCCCAAAATCATGATGTTCTGTAAAAGATTAGCATATGTTTGAAATATGTATTTGTTTTATGTTACAAACTTTATATTATGTTGTAACCATTTTATAAAATCAACAATGCGTGGCTTAGTTCTCATTGCCTAAAATATGTGAGCTTGGACCACAAAACCAGTCACATGGGTACATTTTTGTAAATTGAATAAATAAGATTTCCATTGATGTCGCCTCTGGTTTGTTAGGATAGGACAATATTTGGCCGAAATACAACTATTTGAAAATCTGGAATCTGATGTTGCAAAAAAATCTAAACATTGAGAAAATCGCCTTTAAAGTTGTCCATTTATGTTCGAGATTGTGCTGTATCCACTCACAAAAATAAATGTTTTATATATTTACAGTAAGAAATTTACAAAATATCTTCATGGAACATGATCTTTACTTAATACCCAAATATTTTTGTAATCCTTACAATGTATTGTTGTGCCACAAATATACCCGTGCGCGTTTAGTTTCGTGATCCAGGGTCACATATAGTACATTGACTCTAATGGATCAGCCAATGGTTGATTGTCATAAAGGTATTATAGGTGCGCATTATGTTTTACATCAGTCTTCCACTTCTTCTTGACATCCTGAAACACGTCGTACAGTTCATCGAGTTCCTTCACTGAATCCTCAGGCTTTGTGTGGACGGGCATCAGCACCAAATCCTTCAACACTGCCGAGACACGAGCACAGTTAAAGGGTTAGTTCACCCAAAAATGAAAATGATGTCATTAATGCCTCGCCCTCATGTCGTCCCAAGCCCGTAAGACCTCCGTTCATCTTCGGGACACAGTTTAAGATATTTTAGATTTAGATTCTTCATTCAGCATTCAAACAGCACGTCACGTTCGGTTACGACAGTAACACGAAGACACTCTCTTCAAGATCAATGTTCCCATTATTATACTTTATTTGTAGCTAAAGGTCTATAGTTTGCAGGGGCGTCATGCAAGCCAAAATTCTGGGGGGGCACAATCTGAGACGTTGCAATTGTTTTCTGACGGGTGATATGGATCATGTTAGGGGTCAGGGGGTTTCTCCCCCTGCAAATTTTTTAATTCTGGCTGCGAAACATACTATTTCAATGCAGTTTGGGAGGGACAGAAATACCTTAACGGAGCTAGCAGCAACCCTCCTCTATCTGAGGACTAAGTTAAAGTATATGTGTATCTTATATGTGCATTATAAGATGTTTTGAAGGCCAAAAAAACTCCTAAAGTTGAGCTATGACTGATAGGCTTTTCATTTTTGTCTGTCAGTGAAGAAAGTAAACATAGGGTCAACTGATAGGTTGATTTATGAATCATTTTCTCAGACGAATTTATTTACTGAAAGCTACTAGGAAAGCTAGGTAGCCTAACTAAGTTTATTAAATTCATTCACAGTACACATTCATTATTGATCTTATGCCTAATACAGGGCCGTAGACAGGGCTTTATAATCACAGAGGTCCTAAATTTGAGGTGGGTAGGGGGTTCAAATTTCTTTATTTCTCTGATATGTGCATTTCAAGACGTTTGAAGGCCAAAAAATGGATAAGAAATAGCTTTAAAAACATGTCAGTGGGCAGATTATTTGGCAATACCTGCTCTCACTTCTTATCCATCACTCTTTCTTTTTCTCTCAGTCTCCTGATCTTGCCTTCCCCTCCTAAAGCTGAGCTTTTTTAATGTACTTAAGGCTACAAATTGTACTATATTAATTCTCAATATGTACACATTCTTTATTAATCTTGTGCCTAACAATGAAAACGTCTTTTCCCCTCACAATCACAGTAAACTAATTATTAGCCTACATTACGAGTCACGTTACATAGGCCTATTTTCAGTTCAAAATGGCGAAATTAGACAAAAGTATATTCGTGTGCCTGATTATTTTTGTCATTCGTTTAACATTTATGAACTAAAAAAACTGTCAAATATGAAATGTTTAGTTTAGCTACTTACATCTAGCTCGCACTTGACTGTACACTGAAGCGTCGAGCCTCACTGCTAAAATTCGCGCTCAGCTTCTGTGAACATAAAGCCCGCCTACTTTGATTTGATTGGTCATCTCAAATATTCTGACATTGACGAGCAGTGACAGACCAATGAGGCTCAGATGAACACGCACGCACACACACACACACACACACACACTGTCCTCTGTTTCTGACGTGCGCTCTGCTCGGCACCGCTGCGGATTGAAGATGAACAACGCGCTGAATCTGATTATAACAAGACTGAAGTAATAAAAAATTATCAGGGAGGAAAAATCTGAGGGGGCACGTGCCCCCTCACTTTGAATGGGCATGACGCCACTGATAGTTTGCATAAAATTACTTTATCTTGCTGGAGTTTATAGCGCTTTCTAAATCATATTCCTTTCTCCCAGGTGTCTGTTACTACAGCACTAGAGTAGAGAGCACTATGAGTTGTTCTTCATGCTCACTGTAAGTTAACTGAAATTTAAAACTGTTAAAAGAAAAGGCTCAATAAACTGTTGCATAGATATAATACATTAAGCATAGATAGATATAATACATTAAGCATAGATAGATATAATCTCTTCGCTTTGTGCTTTGAACTTTTCAATGCGAAGCGCTGCACCTGCACGCAGTGATTTCGCGTTGCTTCAAGTGCATCATTCTGCGCACGGGATGCGCATAATCGCTTTGCCGCTCTTATTGGCGCCATTCATGTTATAATGCTTGGGAGGTTTAAACACCTGGGATAAGGGGGCGTGGCCAATGGGAATATCACTCATGGGCCACGCCCCCTCCCCCTGGCGCAATGGGCCTGCCACCACGGCTGGAAAAAATCCCAGAGGAAACACTGGGTTCTGTTGTGGATCCGCGTTCAGTGCCGCTGCTGACGTAAGACGCTGCTTACGTGTGTCTGGTGTGTGTGTGTGTGTGTGTGTGTGTGTGTGTATTCTGGTTCTGTTGTGGATCCGCGTTCAGTGCCGCTGCTGACGTAAGACGCTGCTGACGTGTGTCTGGTGTGTGTGTGTGTGTGTGTGTGTGTATTCTGGTTCTGTTGTGGATCCGCGTTCAGTGCCGCTGCTGACGTAAGACGCTGCTGACGTGTGTCTGGTGTGTGTGTGTGTGTGTATTCCGGTTCTGTTGTGGATCCGCGTTCAGTGCCGCTGCTGACGTAAGACGCTGCTGACGTGTGTCTGGTGTGTGTGTGTGTGTGTGTGTGTGTGTATTCTGGTTCTGTTGTGGATCCGCGTTCAGTGCCGCTGCTGACGTAAGACGCTGCTGACGTGTGTCTGGTGTGTGTGTGTGTGTGTGTGTATTCCGGTTCTGTTGTGGATCCGCGTTCAGTGCCGCTGCTGACGTAAGACGCTGCTGACGTGTGTCTGGTGTGTGTGTGTGTGTGTGTGTGTGTATTCCGGTTCTGTTGTGGATCCGCGTTCAGTGCCGCTGCTGACGTAAGACGCTGCTGACGTGTGTCTGGTGTGTGTGTGTGTGTGTGTGTGTGTATTCGGGTTCTGTTGTGGATCCGCGTTCAGTGGCGCTGCTGACGTAAGACGCTGCTGACGTGTGTCTGGTGTGTGTGTGTGTGTGTATTCTGGTTCTGTTGTGGATCCGCGTTCAGTGCCGCTGCTGACGTAAGACGCTGCTGACGTGTGTCTGGTGTGTGTGTGTGTGTGTGTGTGTGTGTATTCTGGTTCTGTTGTGGATCCGCGTTCAGTGCCGCCGCTGACGTAAGACGCTGCTGACGTGTGTCTGGTGTGTGTGTGTGTGTGTGTGTATTCCGGTTCTGTTGTGGATCCGCGTTCAGTGCCGCTGCTGACGTAAGACGCTGCTGACGTGTGTCTGGTGTGTGTGTGTGTGTGTGTATTCCGGTTCTGTTGTGGATCCGCGTTCAGTGCCGCTGCTGACGTAAGACGCTGCTGACGTGTGTCTGGTGTGTGTGTGTGTGTGTATTCTGGTTCTGTTGTGGATCCGCGTTCAGTGCCGCTGCTGACGTAAGACGCTGCTGACGTGTGTCTGGTGTGTGTGTGTGTGTATTCCGGTTCTGTTGTGGATCCGCGTTCAGTGACGCCGCTGACGTAAGACGCTGCTGACGTGTGTCTGGTGTGTGTGTGTGTGTGTGTGTATTCCGGTTCTGTTGTGGATCCGCGTTCAGTGCCGCTGCTGACGTAAGACGCTGCTGACGTGTCTCTGGTGTGTGTGTGTGTGTGTGTGTATTCCGGTTCTGTTGTGGATCCGCGTTCAGTGCCGCTGCTGACGTAAGACGCTGCTGACGTGTGTCTGGTGTGTGTGTGTGTGTGTGTGTGTGTGTGTGTGTATTCTGGTTCTGTTGTGGATCCGCGTTCAGTGCCGCCGCTGACGTAAGACGCTGCTGACGTGTGTCTGGTGTGTGTGTGTGTGTGTGTGTGTATTCTGGTTCTGTTGTGGATCCGCGTTCAGTGCCGCTGCTGACGTAAGACGCTGCTGACGTGTGTCTGGTGTGTGTGTGTGTGTGTGTGTGTGTCTGGTGCGTCCGTGTATTTGGGTTCAAATAAATATGGCTGGGCAAAAAAATGCAAGTCTTCCTCTGTGTGGAAATCCTTAGACATGTTTGCGAAGATTGTTTTGTTTCCAGCGTGCGTCTCCCTCAGACTGTAAACGAAGCTCGGGCGCACCAGACACACGTCAGCAGCGTCTTACGTCACACACACACACACACACACCAGATACACGTCAGCAGCGTCTTACGTCAGCAGCGGCACTGAACGCGGATCCACAACAGAACCGGAAGACAATACAATGCTGAATAAAGTCCAAGTTTTTGTTATTTTTGGACCAAAATGTATTTTCGATGCTTCAACACACTCTAACTAACCCACTGATGTCACATGGACTACTTTGATGATGTCTTTATTTCCTTTCTGGACAAGGACAGTATGCCGTACATACATTTTCAATGGAGGGACAGAAAGCTCTCGGACTAAATCTAAAATATCTTAAACTGTGTCCCGAAGATGAACGGAGGTCTGACGGGCTTGGGGCGACATGAGGGAGAGTCATTAATGACATCATTTTCATTTTTGGGTGAACTAACCCTTTAATAATAATTACAATCATTTGAGTCCTCATAAACACCTTCTGTCAAAGCCTGAGATTAAAGGTATACTCCACCCAAAAATGAAAATTCTGTCATCATTTACTCACCCTCAAGTTGTTGCAAACCTGTATGAGTTTCTTTCTTCTGCTAAACACAGAGGAAGATATTTTGAAGAACGATGGGAACTTTGGCACCATTGACTTCCATAGTGTTTTATTTTTTTTCTACTATGGAAGTCAATGGTGCCAATCAACTGTTTGGTTCCAATCGTTCTTCAAAATATCTTCCTCTGTGTTCAGCAGAAGAAAGAAACTCATACAGGTTTGCAACAACTTGAGGGTGAGTAAATGATGACAGAATTTTCATTTTTGGGTGGAGTATCCCTTTAATGCAATTCAGCCATTTCAGTTTCAGTTGTTTGAATTGTCAAATGGGATTTAAGAGATTACACAATACAGGAAAAATTGATTTATTAGCTTGAAATTTGTAGCCAGGGCTAATGAAAATATGCTGTGTTGTACACAAAATAATCAGATTCACACACATACACTGAGATAATATGTTGTAGTTTACCTGTTTTATGACACTTGAATCGCAGAACATAAGGTTCTCTGGCAAAAGCATCTTCATCTCCAGGCTGTTTGTCATCGTATTGGTAAGACCCAACCAAATCCACCATGCTGATCCTTTATATTTAAAACAGATCATGTAAGTGGGGGTATTACTATTTTTATGCAGACTTTTTTTGTGTTGCTGTGCCTTTAAGACTATGTAAACGCGCCAATGCACCAGTATTAAAATAAAAACACCATATTAACACATTCAGGGATTGTCTTCTATCACTTAACTTAAAAAATAAATCAAATCTGTTATAGATCTATTATTAAATACAAGTAGAGTTTTATATACGTACATTTATTTTAATATAAACAAACAAACTGCAATTTTTTTTAATTCAAAACCAGCATCATTTACAGGTAAATAGTGAAAGTAATGTGTTCAAGTGTCCAAATGTGTTTATCCATGGGACATAGCAGATATATAAACATAAAGATAACGAGGCTGTGAGGGATATAAGTACAGTGTCAATGGATTGTACTGTTGTTTAACAGCATGCCAATTCTTTCCAAAAAACATTCAGTAGACAAAAATGTTGAAAATCATATGATCTAGGACCTTAGTGCAAACCAAGAACTTTCTGGGAATCTTAGTTTTTGGTTATAGAAATACCTACAAATAACCAATAGGGAATGTTCTGTCTAGTTTCCCTTCACGCTGTCACAAAATAAAACATTTTAAAAGATACCCACGGCTTTTTATCTCATAATTGCGAGTTAAAATCTCGCAATTCTGACTTTATTTCTCAGAATTGCATGATATAAATTCGCAATTGCAAGTTTTAAAGTCAATGCTGGGTCGTTTGAACCCAAATTTGGGTAAAATATGGACAAACCCAAATGTTGGGTTAAAAATGCAATTAAAAAAATTACAGTTGAAAGTGAAAGTTGAAGTTGGGTTAAAATTTGAAATTACATTTTTAACCCAACATTTGGGTTTGTCCATATTTTACCCAAATTTGGGTTCAAACAACCCAGCATTGTTTAGAGTGGCAGAATCGCGTGATATAAAGTCACAATTGTGAGATTTAAACTTACAATTGCAAGAAATAAACTTGCAATTCGAACTTTTTTTCTTGCAATTGCGAGTTATAAAGTTCAATTCTAAGGACTGACTTTTTCTCAGAATAGCGACTTTATATCATCTGAGAAGTCAGAATTGTGAGATAAAAAGTCGCAATTACCTTTTTAATTTTTTATTCTGTGGCGGAAACAAGCTTCCATAGGGACAAGATAGGGATGTTTGGGGAACATTCGGTGTGTGTTTTCAGGCGTTTTCCTGAGTAATGGTCTATTGTAACTTCAACACCGTTACCTGTAAAGGAACATAAACTGTTCTTTGTAATTCCCTCTTCCCAGGCGTGTGCTGATCTCCATCTTGTAAGGATCTGTCTTGTTGGACCTGTTAAAGAGCGGACAGTCATGGTTACTACTGTCCTGCAATAATGTGTTTTTGTCCTCATGTAAAAACACACCTGTTTGACTCACTTATTCAGCTCTTTGAGAAAATGATCCACTGCAGCTCCGCTAGAATCCACCACCTCGAGAATGACGATAATGTCATAGCGTGACACAATCTGCAGAAAGACAAGCCATTATTTCATACAAGCTACTCCTCCCTTGAAGGATTATCAGACTTTAAGATAAGTAACATGTTATAGACTCATCCAAGAGGGAGTTCGCTGTCAAATGGGATGTATTTATGTGACTCTGTATTTTCTGTAGGTGTGGACGGGCGTCACGTTGATCAGGGTTATTACCGTCAACTAAAACTAAACCATCTGTCATTTAAACAAAAGAAACACTTATCAAATGAATGATGGTAAAATCACACTGCCTTGATCAGGGTTTTCACCACGGCCGGATCAGAGAGTTTTGATTTCCCAAATTTCTGGACGTTGAACGAAGCGACCTTCATGATGTCTGTTAAACATGAAACACAAGGAAATCAAATGAAGAGATTTGCAACGTTAGTGGAAAATCAGGCAATTCTATTTATAATGACGCTTGAATACAAATGAAAGAAAAATCATGGCCTTTAGAGTGTTTATCATGAAGTTGTCAACAAATAATGTGAAAAATCCTGTTTTTTTGCTATCTTTTTACATGACTGAACCTGTTTACAGAAGAAGCAGTTAACAAAGAGATCACCAGACAAGATAATCTCGTCAAAATGGTCAAACAACACAATCCGTTTAATCCTGTCTTAATCAAAAAAGGCGTAAATTTAATCAGGTTGAGAAGGAAATGGACTTTCAATACAAATCGTATTCACAAATGCAACAGGATGAAATCAGCACAGTTAGCCAGACAAGATAGAGCAGATCTGTGTGAAACTATTTGAGGGTCCTGGTGTTGGGGGAGCGGGTGACTGAGCTCTTTATGCCCGGAGGGTTTCTCAATGGCTCTCTGAATGGGCCACAAATTAGTTTCAGCTCTCAGACATTACTGAGGAGAAGTCCAAAGAAGAAACAACGCCTTTAAATTCAATCTCTGGCGGCCATCTGTCATGGACATGACAACACCACCCAAAAACGTATGATGATGGAGGATGTATAGATTCCACTCATGGATTTAGAAGAAAAGAAACATTTAAAGAAAGTGTTTTCACATTCCATCTCGTTCAACACCGCACAAGCTGAAACAAGTTTAGGGGATTAACTGACAGGACTCCTATTTGTTGGTGTTGTTTAAAAAGTTTAGATTCCTAAAATTTTAATTTAATTCCAATCAACATTGTCGGAATATAAAAACAGTTGAATTTTGAAAAACAAGAACCTTTTGTGAGTGTTGTTTAAAAAAGTTTACTTTAAAAAAATGTACATTCTAAGCATCATAGTAGGATTATAAAAACAGTTGAATTTTGAAAAACAAGAACCTTTTGTGAGTGTTGTTTAAAAAAGTTTACATTCAAAAATGTAAAATTCTAAGCATCATATAGGATTATAAAAACAGTTGAATTTTGAAACGCAAGAACCTTGCTTGATTCTCCCGACACTTTTTAAACAATAAAAAAAAAGAAGTGTTACACTTTATTTTTAAGGTGACATAGTTACATTGTACTTAAATAAGTACTGAGTAATATTAATTAACTACATGTACTTAATATAGAGTTGCAGTTAGGGTAAGTTGTAATTGTGCATAATATACTGTTATTACTATAGTAAGTATATGTAGTAACAACGTCACCTTAAAATAAACTGTTACCAATATAAGTTAAGGATTTAAGAAGTCAAAGAACAAAACCCAACTTACCCAAGCAC